CGCGTCTAGTCTGTAATCCGGCATACTAAATACTATCCAGCAGAATCGATGGTAGTTTGAATCCTGTCTCGGGTCTTGGCTTTGGCGATTGCCCATACGCACCGTAGCTCTCACATTTCATTCCTTTTCGAGTGTGTTGCTTGCCGCGTGTGCCACTACCAACTGCTTCTCGGGTTGCTGGTTCCTTCCATGTTTCCATTTCGGGGTCCATGGTTTACCGCCCAACCAAATTTTAGGGTTTGGCATCTGGCCCATGTGGTTCTCACTCATTTCAGGCTTGCCAGCACCTGCTGCGTTCTTACGCTTCAATACTTCTGGGAGTTATGGTTTCTGAAGAGTTTCTCGTGAGGGCTTTACGGTGGCCAGTCCTCACTGTTTTTGGACTATAGTGATGAGTAGTGGCTTCTTGCGTTTGACTACTCTTGCGTCCTAGCGGCTCGACATCCCACATTTCGCCACTGCCCCCACCGCTGTTGAGACGCAATTGTATTCTGTAACGGGGTCTTCCTGGCAATCAACTGCATTTTGGGTTCTGGGCTTTGCCGCACCCCATTGCTTCTCTGGTTTCTTCATGTTTGCTAATTTCTTCACGGCTTAGGCTCGCACCACGCTACACTGCTTTTCGACTCTACGCTTGCCAGGTTTGATTTTTTTGGCTTTATGTTTCGCCGCAGCCGTGATCTGGGGTTTATTCCGGGCGTCGCCTCTGCTGTCTGTTGTCAGCCTCTACAACACAGACCGCCTCAGTGCGTGGCGGTGCTCTGATGAGTGCGACAAGCAGTAACTGGGAGAAGCATTCGATGGTCTGCACCTCATCGCTCTGCATGTAGACCGGGAGCCGCAGGCTCTTGAGAGATTGACGGCAGACGAGTCCGACTGAGCTGAGAAAACATGCAATATGTGATAGCATTCTGGGCTATCGGACCAGCTGTGTCATGAGCCTCGGAAGTGTTGACACCCGGCTGCAACCTTCTGTTATGCTTTCTGAGGCATCCGCAGGCTTGGCGAGCGGCCAGCCATGCGTGCCTCATGCGCTGCCACAAGAAGTCCCCGATCAGACTTATCCCTGGTGCGAACAGAGGAGCAACGCAAAGTCCCAGCTGGACAACCGTGATAACAAGCAAGCAGTTCATCACGACTGTTGACTGGTCAACATGCCGCGCCACAAAGCATCGCGGATGTTGTCAGTATCGGAGAGATCTTCGGAAGTCTCGACAATTGAGTGTTCGCGAATGAACTGAAGCACCGCAAGATTTAGCAGTGCAGTGACTGCTTGATAGGGTGTGAAAGGGTGTGAAAAAAGGCCCAGCACCTCTTTGCCTCTTTACGATAACTCTGATGGTTGCGCCAGGCAGCAACAACATCTGCATCACAAGCATCGCAAAGCTATGCATACGGCCACACAGGGCAATGCTTCCCGTTGCAATTTGCGTCATCTTTTCTCGCGGGTACTGAAGGAGAAGACCCGAACTTGGCCGGTACCGAATGGGATGAGGCCTGCACGGCTGCAGCCCGGGCTGCAAATGTTGAAGCCACCTGTGCGCAGCGTGGCCAGCAGCAAGTTCGACCCACGGAGATGGCCAAGATCGCCATACAATCATCGCAGCATATACGAGCACCGACAAGGCACCGGTCTGAAGGCAAGCTCTGAGATGCGGACGGACAGCAACAAGTTAAGGATGAGCCACCAATCAGGCCTGTTGTGAGTGGTACTCAAGTGTGCGGAGCTAGCAGCCGTGCAAAAGAGCAGGGTGGCCACGCAAGTCTTGAGCTCGTGCCTCTGATACCAGTCCACGATTCTTGGGCCCACTTTGTCCCATTGGCTGGGGAAGACCTGAGTGTGACTGGCTATGTAGACAGTGTCCGAGATTGCCCAAGTGTGCTCTCTGTGGTGCAGGCAATGAAAATTCCGCAAAGATGCCTGGCGAGGAGGTGCGAAAGGACTTCAAGCTTACAGGCCTGAGAGTTGAGTGCATTGCTTGGAGAGAGTGAGGAGATCCCAGAGGAGATGTCATGTGTCATGAACAATGCCGTCCAGCTGCTGCATAAAAATTTGCTCCTCAACGCTCTCACCAAACCTTTCATGGCAGAACACAGGCCACTCTCGACTTGCAACTGCTGCCGAGGACGATAAGGCTTGAGCTTCTCAAAGGCAATCTTGACCGTGGAACCTCGCATGAGGCAGAAACAACTTAGGCGTTTCTGCCGTGCACTGCATGCAGAAGCCCTTGGTCCACCACTCAAAAGTGCTAGGGACACCGAAGAAACCAGCACTTCCGCACAGCCGACCTTGAGATTCCAGACCATCACGTTGACCGCTACTCGAACTGAAAGCACTTCGTTCCGCACTCAAACAGAAGGAGCAGATGCGATCACACTCTGCCATGCGTCAAGGAGAAACGGAAACAGCATCCGGGGGCTCGTCTGCAAAGTCATGTGATGAAGCAGCACCTGTAGACCTCGAAAGGCCGCCGCATCCTTCAGTGTGGCCCTTGGCGGAGAGCTCAGGCTCAAGCGCTGTGTTGCTTCGCGCTGCGCTTGCTGACTGCATGGCCTGCAGTTCAGCGCAAACAAGATTCCACAACGACCGCTTCCGGTCCTCGCGTGGCCTGACTGGCCCAAGCGATGCCAACCTCAAGCTCTCTTGCTGGATGCACTTGGTTTGCCGTGAGGTATGCCCAAATCAAAGTTGCTGAGCGACCGGCTGTCACAATAAGCACGCCAAAGAGCTGCGACAGCGAGTATCTCTTCCGGAAGAGAAGGTACCTCGTTCCAAACCATCTAGGTTCCACGAACAAAACCATTTCAAGCTTCTGTTGCCCTGTACGGGCTACGTGTAGCGGAGCTCCGAAGGGCGAGGAACGGCTGCCGACTGTGTCTTTGCCGTCATCCCCAGCGCTTAGCGGCAGAATGTCTTCTCGGCCAGCACTTCGTCAGAACGTGCAAGATTTGGGATAATGCAAATGCCGTTCCGAAATCTGAGGTCAGAGCTGGACAACCACGCCCACCTAGCCAATTGGTGGCTACAGACAAGCGAGCTGAGCGCTGGCGTCTCGATCAATCTTGGAGTCCCGCCATCATGCGCAGGTTTGACAGCATCATGCAAACAGATGCTGGCAACCGGACGTATGCCTGAAATGGGCTTCGCAGCAAAGTCAAGTCGCTACGTCAAGCTGCTGCGCTGGAAGACATCCCTGAGGTGCGGACGTCCGACTTGAAACTCGTGAAGCTGCATCCCAACAGAATAATTGCTGCCTTGAAGCTCGAGCTTTCAAGACCAATACAGTGCATGTCTCCCCTGTGCGAGGCTGCAAAACTCATAGAAAAAGAGACACCAGGGACTGCGGAAACTGTCTGAGCACTCTGCATGGTATCTGAGCGGAATACCTGATGCAGCGCTACTCTGCAGTGTGGAAAGTATCGCAGGATGCTAACCGTAGTAAAGGTTCGGATGGGTCACTTCGTTCCATGATCAGAGACTTTGCCCGATGAAGGCTGCCGCCAATGATCGCCAAATGCCTTTGGGGCGCCCTACACCCTCCACTGATTGTGCATGTAGATGTTTGTAAACATGTGACTGTGCAAACAAACTTGCATATGCCTTCTGACTTGGCTGACTTGGCCATGGCACAAGCAGAAGGAGATGAACAGGGGTGAGCCAGGATCTCCGCGCAAGACCTGTCGTTGGAAGACACCCGGTCACACCAAACACGACAAAGACCCCGAGCTGAGGCTCCAGCCATGTTGTATGGCACTACTGAGCAGACACCGATCACCACTGCTAGGACCTCTTTCGGCAAGTGTTGACACCTGCGCAGATTTACGGGATCTGCGGGCCCCAGGCCGCCGCAGGAACGAAGGGCTTCGCATCCTGCAGGGCAGCGGTGCTGCACAACGCGGGGGGGGGGTGTCGGAAGATCTCGGGTGCCTATCTGAACGGAGCAGACTCCTGCGCTCGATGCAGCTGTCTCGTGGTCGCTCGCCTGATGAGGCTCTGCTGCTGCACATCCTTGTCCTTGCGAAGAGAGCCCCGCAGACTATCCTTGCATCCCGACTAGGCTTCACTGCAAAAAGGTTGGTCTGGCTTGAGACCTTTCTCTGCGTGGAACATCTTGCGCTGAGGAGATGCATTGGCACAGAACATGTGCGACACGCAGATCATACATCCTCACATTCATGCGGAAAAGCTGTCCTCCAGCTCCACTCGGTCCAAGTCTTCCAGCGCTTCCAACTGAGTGCAGAGGTGCTTCGAACTTTTTACCACCCAGGGCTCCATATGGGGCGGATGGAAGCTTGCCAGATTGGGACGTCAAGAGCCAGGAGAAAAACACAGCACAGTAAGCAGCACTCCGGACACGCCGCCTCATGGTCTTATTCCGGGCTGTTGTTCCTGCCTTTTCTCAGAAGCAGAGGCACCGGCTGGTGTCGACGTCCCATCGGGAAGGCCAGTGTGCAAAACCTTGCTAATTTCGAGCAGCTTCCAGAACTGATGCAACCCGTGAGTCATGAATCCTAACCTCCAGCAATTGAGAGCTCCACATGGCTTGCATGTGACATGCGGTAGACCGCATTAAGCTTGAGCTGCGCGACCTGAGCGGATGCACTATAGCAATCTTGCAGATGCGTGATTCACTCGCAGCTATGAGCAAGAGCCTTCCATTTGCTGAAATCCTTGTGGGAGGACCTCATGCGAGGACAGTTCTTGCAGTACTGCGAAGTTTGTTCGACCAGCTGCGGTGCAACTTCCAGCTCAGCCTCTAGCATTGTGACGTTCGCCCGACGTCTTTGGTGGCGGCGTCCGTCTGCAGACTCCCTACCGGAATCGTGCTCTCACAGTAGACTGCACAACAGCGTGTGGCCAGCCGTCCAACTGGCCTGGCGCCTGTAATGCCAAACGGGCAAGGCTGATCTATGAGTATGCTTGAGCCTAAATTGCTCCCGGACGGAATCATTAGAGAAGCCGCACAGAGAACTGCATGAGCTACTGAAATGCTTGGGGCCTCAGGGTTACTGGTCCACCACTGCCAGAAGCCGCTCCCCAAACCTGCACTGGTCTGAACATGCCAGATATTCTATGCAGCTGACAAGCTCGCCCTCTGTCGAGGAACTGGCAAACTGCCGTGGTCATGCTCGTAAGGACAGCTGAAGAAGGCAAGGTGTACGTTCAGATCCATTGAAACAAGGCGTGGCCCATGAAATCCTTAATCTAGCTTCCGGTAGGACTATCCTCTAGTTGACTTTGTGTGACTCCTCGTGCTTTTTCTAAGTGCAAAGCTCGTCAATGGAACTCGATGGGGATGTGCTGGAGGTCCCCGATGCAAACAAGATACAGCGGCACTGGAATACATGCGAGAGGTGAACGTCATTGCAGAAACGAGCTGGAGAAGGCCGCGGCCTGATCCTGTAGTCAAGCCACCGAAGTTGACTTTTCGCAGGTCGGCAGCCTCAAACCACGGCACAATGCTTACAGCATGAAGCAAGCTTGTTTGCAGCCTCGAGCCAGGATGAGAAGATGATCTCAGCGCTTGGCCTCCAGATCGGAGACAAAACAAACAAGTAAGGCTTCACATAGACCATGCTTCGCTGGCAGTGAGCAGCACAAGCTACTGCAACCAAGTTGCTCCACCGGGCAGGTTTTGCATTGCTGCGCCTTCTAGCATCACTCGTCGGATGAAACAAGCTTCGGCTTCGTACCTGCTCAACCTTCCAAACTCTCGAGTCTCGTGTGTGAGCCTTCCAGCACCAAAAGTCTGGACTGTCTTTGGCAATCTGGAGCTTCTTTCGGATCACCTCCCAGAAAACACTCTCTTCAATGTAAGCTCCCTGCCATCATGCCCAAGGAAGACTTGGGGTCTTCACTGCAGCTGCTTGTACATGGTCCTCGGTGGCTGGGCAGTGTGCCTATGACACCTTAGACATTAGAATGAGTGATCAGACTGCCGCAAGACTGGACAAGTTCGCACTTTCCAACTCCATTCAACAGTTCTTGCTGGGTAGGCGGCAGCAGGCAAATCCACATCGGCTATGCCTCGAACCTCGGGTTGGCAAAGCTGTTGCCTGTCCGCATCTTTCGTTTGCATGTACCACTGCAAACCACCAGAGTAGATCTGGGGTGCGCGCGTGCCCAAAGAGGCGGTCAAAGCCAAATGTAACGCGATAATCCAACCTGGTGGTTTGCGGCTGTGCATGGCTTGCGCTGGCGGCTGGCGCCACTGAGCTGGCTGGCCATACGCTCGCAGAGACGGCCTTGCCGAGCGACTCAACCTTGGTACAAAGGGAGGCCCCTTGCGATGCTATCGTCAATGGCCGCACGAATGGATACAGTAAGGACCTGTGAGGCTTTCGCCACAAGCGCAAAAGCTACCTGGTCACACAGACATGTGATGGTGTTGATCAGGGGAGCCCTATAATGCTCACATCCGGAGGCCTCTGCATGGGAGAGTGTCTCAGAATCGTAAATCAAACGCCGACCTGTTGGAATCGGCAAAGTCTTAGTCTTAGTCTTGGGTCTGCTGCGCGAGTCGACTGCTGGCATAGCAGAGACATCTTGTTGCGCAGGAAAATCGCTTACCTCGCAGTTTCTGCGAAAAGTCGTCAGCTAGCATTCGAAGCCTGGGCAGCAAACCAGGGGGCTTGACATTGTCATGATGCATGGTCTGACACGCAGCAACTGTGTGTGGCACTCGTCCCAGTCCAGCAAGAAAGTGGTGACCTTGCTTAATTATACACTATACAGTCACGAGGCGAAGCCGACTTGAATGCTGCCTTTTCCGTACAAGAAAAACAATTTCGACACATTATTCCACAGTAACACTGTTGACGCGAATGAAGTCCAGACCCAACGCCCCAAATGATTTGGCTTCGACCATGGACTCCGAACTCCTAACTGCCCTAACTGAAACCGTTTCGGGAGATGTCATCAGATACCTACGGACCTCATGCTTGTCATGCCGAAGCCAACGAGTTTGATGAATTTACTCAAGCCCGAATCTCGGGACCGGGAACCCTCCGAAAGAGCCTGACAAGGTACGGGGCATACCGCCGTAAATGTCCTGTGAGCCTTTCATGGGAGCATGCAAAACTGGATACGTAAGTTTACATATCTGAACCTGAAAACTAAGACTGGAAACTAGGCCTCGGGCACCAAGCCTTTCGGCTGCAGCAGCGGCAGCCGCTTTTGCCGTGGCCGCCTCGTTGGTGCAACGCGGGAATGACATGGCAGCCGTCTCAGGTTCTTCCACTGCAGGGAGATCCTTGACTTCGGTGCATCGAACTGGAGAGCCCTGCCGAATGCAGCTCTTTAAGAGCTGCCCATGCACGGGTCAGGGGGACAAGCAGTTCAAGCGCTGCTCTAACAGGCTTCCGCGGGGTTAAGCCTGAGCCTGAGCCCTCTTTGGGGCTCAGCTGGGACCCTCAGCTCCACTGCCCTCATCTGAAAGACTTGCGGCGTCCTCGCGAGCCTCCTCTTCAAGACTTTCACTTCGCAGCAGCCTGGCGCTACTCAGGAAGGCTTCTGCTTGGCCTGAAGTCTCAAGCATGTCCTTGCCCTGCTTCGAAGCCGCCGCAACAACAGCAGACATGACCGGCGGGGACAAGATATAATCATCAGCATTATGTGAAGGAACCGTTGAAGACACGTCGTACGAGGCGCAGCCGTGAGGCAACGGCTCAGAAATTCCACAAAAGCCCATAGCGGCTTCACGTTTCGGGCCGCTGGAGCTCAACTCAGCAAGACCAAAGGCTCCTGCCAGAACTGCGTCGTTCTTAGAAAAGAAATTGGTGATCGACCGAACAGCTAGTGCTTCGCGTGGGAAGTCTCCTGTGCTGCTTAAGGCGTTGTGATGGATAGCAGCCCCCACGAGAAACATATGATCAACTAAGGTCTCGGGAATCGAAGTCTTTACAGCGGAAAGAGCGACTCTTGCTCCTAAAGAGTGGCCGACCACTGTCACAGTACATCCGTTCGAATGCAACCTCTGCAGGAGAGCATTCAGCTTGACCGCTGCCCCTGGAATCTTCGCGCGTGCGCCAGGGTAGGACGTTTTGTGGCTTGGCCACAAAAACCCGATGACGTTCGTTCGCTCCATTTCCGCTGCGAGATCTCCCCCTGTCTCCATGCGCAACCGCTGCTGCAGCAAGTACAGGAAACTCATCGCTCGGTGGAAAGGTGTACGAAAGCCGTGCACATAAACCAACACCCGACTCTCGTTAAGCTGGCACGGGAAGTCTGAACGGCCTTCAGATCCGTCGATGCTCCAGTACTCGTATGCTCCCCAGGTTTCTGCCGTGAAGCCGTCCTTGTTCCTGCAAGACGCCTCATGAATCTTGGACAGCTTCGCCGCTTCACCTGTCGGATGCAAAAAGAAATCGCAGTGTGCCTGCACTTTGAGTCGCTGAGCTTCGGTCAAAGTTCTGGCTTGAGCTTTAAACAGCTCACACTTCTGCCCATGCTCACAGAAATGTCTGCAATCTGGCTGGTACAGCTGGCAGTCATCTAGCAAGAGGTCGAGTTGCACAGGAGGTCGACACGATGCAATCCAAAGGTCCTCATCGTAGCAGGGAGGCGGCAGTGAAGCAATCTCCGCTGCAAGCATGGAGTCCACATCACCACATGTTGCACTTGGGTCCAGCAACACTTCGCGCAAGAACTTTCTCTGACGCTCCGCGTAGTAGTCAGGGTCAATGACGACGCAGTCCTTCTTCTTCATACCCCGCATTTCGTGCTTCAACAAATGGTACAGCCTCATCGTGAGGCCGTACTCCACAAGAAAATCAATAATGCCCACGAAATAGTAATACTGTCCGTCTGCGCTTTGCAAAACCTCTGCTCCACAGTCTACACCACTTGTGTCATCTGACCGCAAACCAATGCCCACAAGGATGCTGTAGTCCATGATGTTGCACATACTGAGGAAGGTGGTATCACGATCATGCATCTGCCTAAGTCTCAATGCATCATCTGCACAAAGTTGTAACCGCTCGCCATCATCCAACCAGTTCTGATCTTTTCGTACAAACTCAGCGGACACGTCTGAGACATGGCGACCAACTGCACACCCTTTCAGGTCATACAGGGACAGTAGAGGCAGCTGCGGCAACGGATCCATGATGGACTGCATGATGGTAATGTAACGAGATCCCTCAAGGAGTCCACCAAAATTCAGGCGAAACAATGCCAAATATCTACCCAGCATCGATCCCACCCTGTCACCACACATCCTTTGCACATACTTTGGCATTACGTCCATTAGCGCCATGGCCTCCTTGCGCGAAATGGTCTTCACGATGAAGCTGCCATTGCACGAAGTTAAGAAAATAGCACCGGACCGGCTGTTGGTGGTGAAAGATCGACAGGGCGAGTTGACATCGCCAAGTTCCTGCAGAATTTTGGTGTCGTCCAGGCTGGCGACATCTACCCGCAAGCGGTCCAGCAAATTCAGCCCAAAGGAAGAGAATGTGAAGTCCTGTTCAAAGTCCAAACCTGTGAGAGGGCACAGGCCAGCGGGTATTACGAACTTGCAGGACTCCACTATCCAGTTCGATGGGAGCGAGCCTTCACCGAACAATGGATGCACATGGTCTTCCAGCAACTGAACCAGCCGTCGGCAGCTGTGTGAGACTTGGATCATGAAGGGTACTGCCATCGCCACTTGCTTTGCAGTTTGCCCGGATTCTGGAGCTGCTGTGCTTTCTTTGGTCTCGTCGCACCTTCCGGTCAGAGCTCTCATTACAGGGTCAGCCTTCTTCATTAGCATCGGCAGAGCCTCCTCCCGAAACCCGAGCGCTGTGGAAGTCTCTGGTACATGCCACGTGTCTGGCTTCCAATCGGACTCCAAGACGCTCATGCACACGGCCTGGAGATGCCCCTCTAAGCTTGCCAACTTGGAATCGCTGACTCGCATTTCGTCGAGTTCCCTGTCGTCTGCTGCTTCCCGCAATTCGGACCAAGCCTCTGTGACCAGACCTGGCACGATCTCGGGACCAAGCCCAGCGAACAACTTGGCAAACTTCACCAGGGAAGTCTGGCTGAGGGTCTTCTTGGCAGCTAGGATGAGGAAGTAGCTGCACAGCATTTTCCTCGTATCTGCTCCGCTGCTTAGTTGCCAGTGGGCAAGTCTTAAGAGCTGCACCAAATTTAAGGTTGAGTCCTTTGTTGACAGTAGTCCCAGCTCTCCCAAGTGCTTGCTGATTAAGGGAGCTGCCGCTGAAGCTATTGCAGAGGCCACTGCAGAAGCTGCTGCTGGTGGCTGTATACTTTGAACCATCGATGCAGGAGAGACTGAAGAGGCCGATCCCATTGCTCGAGAAGGCGTGCCCGAAGGCGCATGGGGCCTGGACGCCTGGACTGCACTGCCTCTTAGAGATCCGAGCAAATCCCAGCAGATCCTGCCTCAAGGATTCTGGACTCGAACAACATCTGAGATATCTGTACCGGCAAGTAAACAAACCGTGGGGTTCCCGGTATTAGCCGCGGGAAGTTGCGAAAGGCGTTGATACTGCATGGAGCTCGCCGGCATGAGCAAAGAAACTTCCAGTCGCGAGGTCAGTCATGACTGTAAGGCTGTTGATCTTATCCCGATCTAGAGTTTCAGCGCTTGAGATGGGCGACGTGAGGTAACATTGCCATCGGTGCAATCGTGACTTGATGGGAAAAAGGGCGCTGTGGTATACATGGTATGCACCTGGGGAAGAAGGGCTAGCGGCAGCAGTCTGGGCAAAACTGATAGTAATATGATATCGTGCGACAGACTGGTGCGCTGAAGTCTTTGCCCCCGAGGTTCTGACTCTCGTGGCAAGCTCACGTCTATGCAGGTACGTGAACGAGGAGTCCAGCTTTGGGAACCCCTGAGCAGCTCATGCCAATCCATCCTAGGCATGTGTCGCTACAACGGGGCCGTACGCAGACTGGGTTCCATGCATTGTTCACTGCACCTTCTAAAACAACACGGGCATCAAGAGATGACGGCCCTGGTTCCTGCGCGAGTGAGGCTCCTGTAAAGCAACCCTTGCCGTCATAAGCGAGTGTCCTCACCCCGAAAAGTATGGCACCATGCTTGCAGAAAGAAGCCTTCAGAGGCAGTGGCGGCTGATCGGTTTGGCTCCAAGCCTACGACGCGCCTATGCCCTCCACATCTGCGAGTCCCTGAGAGAAGCTCAGTGCCAGGATTTGGCCGTCCTGCCGTCTACAGGACTCAGCCAGCATGCGTTGGGCATCGTTGTGCAGATCTTCATGCACACATGCTGGGAATGACTCGATGTCATTGAGGCCAACTCGTTATCGCAAAGCTTCCCACAAGCAGCAGCACCACAGAAGAACGTTTGACTTCAATCCACTCGACTCTACAACTCTCAATACCTAAGATGAAAGGAAAACAACATCCCATTATGCCATCGCTGCTTTGTGAAGCTTTTGCTGCGTTTGTTGAGCCGTGTCCTCACACTCGAGGAGTTTGACCTTTGAACACAGCTTCAAAGACTATGCCGCGATACAGAGAGGTATTTCATTGTGCTCAGGTTTTGCGCTAGATGTCGAATGGTAAGTCCAGCGAGTGTTATTTCCACGGCACTTCGAATGGCCGTGCATGTCCCATGTCTGCTGCAAGACCAGTGGCACCCCAAAAGTGTAGAGACTCTGGGACTCTTTCCGGCAGGAGATTCTCAGCCAGCAGCCCTTAGGAGTGGTCCACCTTTGGCATCTGCCTCTCTGCATGTGCAATGGTGTTCGATTCTTGCAAGCGGCAGCAACTCAACTTTGCGACTGCCTTGGCCAGAGTACCAACTGCTCGGTCAAACAGACCGGTAATGGGGCCAAGCACCTGAGGTCGAATGGACTGCCGAACTGAGTCGGCAGTAATGATGTTCAGAATTGTTCAGACATGTGGAATCCGGCTTCCAATAGACTCCCTGAGGTCAGGTCGGATGGTCTTTTGCCATCATAGCGGCTGTGGCTAAAGCTGACCCCGGCCTTCGAAATCGACGAGGAATCACCACATGCACGATGTCAACTGCTTCAGGATTGATGCAGCAGGTTGCACGAATCTGAGGTCAATACGTTGTTGCACAAAATGCACAGCCTGGGCTGCTTCACCTTCACCTTGTCAAGCGATGATCTGAAGTCATTGCGCAGGGCTCGTTCTTCTAGGCGACAGCTGGCAACCTCTGTAAGACTAAGTAGATATGCCATGCCCATGCGCCCTGTACGTGCAGTTGGACATAGAATACATAGAGAGGTTCTGAGTTCAGTGCTCCTGCGGCAGGCTCCACGAACTTGGCGTAGCCAGTCACTCTCTTGAGAGTATTACCAGAATCTGAAGAATGCTGAGTCACGCACAACTTGCCTGCGAACGAAACGCCCCGTGCAGCAAGGAAAATGACTCAACGCCTGTGGTGGGCCGTTCAAGCGACACCAGGCACAGTCAGAGTACTGGCATTCTGCGAGAGCGGCCTTCGCCAGTGAATTCATCAGAGCTTCTGCGTCGACCGTGTGCTCCCAGCTGAATGCAATGTCCTTCCAGGTTCTACAGACAGTGTCCAGCAACCGTGGCGAAGCAGCGCACCAGCGTCGCGTCGCTGTCGCTCTGCTCGCTCATGGACAGGGGCACCAGCATCTTCTGGCCTCAAATGTTTACTCGTGGGCGCCGGAGGGAATCGCGAAGCTTTGAGGCATCCGCCGGCGCATGTTGCGCAAACCAGACTTGGCCTCGGGAGAAGCCCTTTGCTATGTGCTCCCATGCCCTGCGCTCTTGAACGTAAGACTAGGCATACTAGGCAGCGGGCAGGGGAGGCTGGATTGGCACAGGCCGGGCAGCATCCTGCATGATGTTTTCTGTCATAGACGTGGAACAGCATGACGGGAAACCGGACTTAATGACAGCCCCCAACTATCAGCCGTCACGAGCCTATGATTTAATTTTGTACCACGATTATTTGCCAAGATATGTTCAGGTTCTTCGGCCAACATTCATGGAACATTCATCCGGCCTTGCCGTTCTCCTTGGCACAGGCGTCTTCCATCATTCGGCCATTTATTCATGTGAGTCAAGCCGGCACATTGCTGCCACTATGTTGTGATGATTCATTTAACTTCGCAATGTCAAAGTTCGCAGGCCATGATTTTCGACAGCAGCATTGCCGTTCACAATGTGGCAAAACAGGACCTGACGCCCCACAACTTTCGACGAGGTATCGGTGCATGCAGCTCATTCTGGGAGCGTCACGGCACGTGGGAATAATCCTTGCCAGGGCTGCGGAAGCGATTGGCCACACTACACTCCATGCTAAAACCCACAAAGTATCACAAAGTCTTGATGCCAGCTGTGGAAGGGAATGGAAAGACCCATGGTCTCTGTCGTCCAACTCGGCACGTACAGCGGGCATTCACGTGGGTTTTCGTTTCTTCTGACGGCTTGCAGCAGTCAGGATTGAAATCTAAAACCAGACGCACAAGCACAGACACCAGAAAAAACGCAGACCCTACTTCCCTCACTTCTGCGTGGCTTCCTCGAACTTTTGCCTGCGACAAACGTGCGGCATAATGTATCCCTGCAACATGCTGCAAACCTTCAACGGCTGCGAACGCTGGTGAGTTCAGGCCTCTCGGACTGGAGGTAGATGATGATGAGGATCGCGCATGGGACGACCAGGAGGACCTGGGCGGCGGCCGCGCTATGCCCGCGAGAGCTTTTCGTGTTCTTGGCTGTGCACGATGTTGGCCCACCATCCAGGTGTCGAGACCTCACAGCGTCCATGCAGTCCATAGCAGCGTAGTATCGTGCAAGCTGCAATGGCTGGCATTTTAGAAGGTTTCATGAGACGCAGTATGACGCAGTGACAGCGCCTCCAGCGCGGTTGTGACAGAGGAACTGAGCTCCAAGGTCTCTGGCACAGCGCCGCGTGCAGTGGGGCTGCCTTTTACTTCACGGCAGTTAGCCAAGACGGATCGTCGTTCGGGACCCCACTCCCCACCGTCCCCGCCTCCACGCAGTGATGTCGAAGTCGAGTGTGTGCCGCCGACGAAGCAGGTCGTGGCCTCGATTCCCCGCGTCTTTAGACCGAAGATGTCAAATCCATGCTGATGCATTGCTGAAAACGCCGGCTGGCAGCAAGACATGCACTGCGGCTAGGAAGCAGGCGATGGCAAGAGCAACTCCAAGCAGCAGGATCGGGAGCACCTCATCATCTGCTCAACCGCGAAGACTGGCCCCATGTTCGCAGGGCACAACTAGGCAGGAGCACGCGACGGACTGCCATGGTTGTTGCCTCAGATTCAAACAATCGGCTAAGCAGGTCTGAACGAAGCCACCCAAAGTGCACCCAAGGAGCTGGGTCCACTATAGGGAAGGCAGAAGAGGGCACAGGAGCAAAACAGCTGAAATCGATGGAACAACTCACACTTCATGGAGTACGTACCAATGCGGGTTAAATAGGAAAGCGATTGCCATCATTCCTCGGACCTCTTTGAAACCTGGGTACTACAAGCAGTACACCATTGTCACCGACGTCCATGCGTCATTTTGCGTTTTGCCAAAAAACCTGTCGTCTCTTCCCTCACTTCTGCGTGGCTTCCTCGAACTTTTGCCTGCGACAAACGTGCGGCATAATGTATCCCTGCAACATGCTGCAAACCTTCAACGGCTGCGAACGCTGGTGAGTTCAGGCCTCTCGGACTGGAGGTAGATGATGATGAGGATCGCGCATGGGACGACCAGGAGGACCTGGGCGGCGGCCGCGCTATGCCCGCGAGAGCTTTTCGTGTTCTTGGCTGTGCACGATGTTGGCCCACCATCCAGGTGTCGAGACCTCACAGCGTCCATGCAGTCCATAGCAGCGTAGTATCGTGCAAGCTGCAATGGCTGGCATTTTAGAAGGTTTCATGAGACGCAGTATGACGCAGTGACAGCGCCTCCAGCGCGGTTGTGACAGAGGAACTGAGCTCCAAGGTCTCTGGCACAGCGCCGCGTGCAGTGGGGCTGCCTTTTACTTCACGGCAGTTAGCCAAGACGGATCGTCGTTCGGGACCCCACTCCCCACCGTCCCCGCCTCCACGCAGTGATGTCGAAGTCGAGTGTGTGCCGCCGACGAAGCAGGTCGTGGCCTCGATCCCCCACGTCTTTGGACCGAAGATGTCAAATCCATGATGATGCATTGCTGAAAACGCCGGCTGGCAGCAAGACATGCACTGCGGCTAGGAAGCAGGCGATGGCAAGAGCAACTCCAAGCAGCAGGATCGGGAGCACCTCATCATCTGCTCAACCGCGAAGACTGGCCCCATGTTCGCAGGGCACAACTAGGCAGGAGCACGCGACGGACTGCCATGGTTGTTGCCTCAGATTCAAACAATCGGCTAAGCAGGTCTGAACGAAGCCACCCAAAGTGCACCCAAGGAGCTGGGTCCACTATAGGGAAGGCAGAAGAGGGCACAGGAGCAAAACAGCTGAAATCGATGGAACAACTCACACTTCATGGAGTAACAATGCGAGTTACAGAGGTAAGCAATTGCCATCATTCCTCGGACCTTCTTTGAAACCTGGGTACTACAAGTAGTACAGCATTTACTACAAGTAGTACATCATTGCCTCCGACGTCCCTGCGTCATTTTGCACTTTGCAAAAAGCCTGTCGTCTCTTCCCTCACTTCTGCGTGGCTTCCTCGAACTTTTGCCTGCAACAAGCGTGCGGCACAATGTATCGCTGCAAAATGCTGCAAACCTTCAACGGCTGCGAACGCTGGTGAGTTCAGGCCTCTCGGACTGGAGGTAGATGATGATGAGGATCGCGCATGGGACGACCAGGAGGACCTGGGCAGTGGCCGCGCCATGCTGCCACACAGCACGAACCAAAGAGAGGAATGGCCGAGCCAGTAGATGACTCGACGACCGCTCGACATGACGCGAGAGCTTTTCGTATTCTTGGCTGTGCACGATGTTGGCCCACCATCCAGGTGTCGAGACCTCACAGCGTCCATGCAGTCCATAGCAGCGTAGTATCGTGCAAGCTGCAATGGCTGGCATTTTAGAAGGTTTCATGAGACGCAGTATGACGCAGTGACAGCGCCTCCAGCGCGGTTGTGACAGAGGAACTGAGCTCCAAGGTCTCTGGCACAGCGCCGCGTGCAGTGGGGCTGCCTTTTACTTCACGGCAGTTAGCCAAGACGGATCGTCGTTCGGGACCCCACTCCCCACCGTCCCCGCCTCCACGCAGTGATGTCGAAGTCGAGTGTGTGCCGCCGACGAAGCAGGTCGTGGCCTCGATCCCCCACGTCTTTGGACCGAAGATGTCAAATCCATGATGATGCATTGCTGAAAACGCCGGCTGGCAGCAAGACATGCACTGCGACTAGGAAGCGGGCGATGGCAAGAGCAACTCCAAGCAGCAGGATCGGGAGCACCTCATCATCTGCTCAACCGCGAAGACTGGCCCCATGTTCGCAGAGCACAACTAGGCAGGAGCACGCGACGGACTGCCATGGTTGTTGCCTCAGATTCGAACAATCGGCTAGGCAGGTCTGAACGAAGCCACCCAAAGTGCACCCAAGGAGCTGGGTCCACTACAGGGAAGGCAGAAGAGGGCACAGGAGCAAAACAGCTGAAACCGATGGGACAACTCACACTTCATGGAGTAACAATGCGAGTTACAGAGGTAAGCAATTGCCATCATTCCTCGGACCTTCTTTGAAACCTGGGTACTACAAGTAGTACAGCATTTACTACAGGTAGTACATCATTGCCTCCGACGTCCCTGCGTCATTTTGCACTTTGCAAAAAACCTGTCGTCTCTTCCCTCACTTCTGCGTGGCTTCCTCGAACTTTTGCCTGCAACAAGCGTGCGGCACAATGTATCGCTGCAAAATGCTGCAAACCTTCAACGGCTGCGAACGCTGGTGAGTTCAGGCCTCTCGGACTGGAGGTAGATGATGATGAGGATCGCGCATGGGACGACCAGGAGGACCTGGGCAGTGGCCGCGCCATGCTGCCACACAGCACGAACCAAAGAGAGGAATGGCCGAGCCAGTAGATGACTCGACGACCGCTCGACATGACGCGAGAGCTTTTCGTGTTCTTGGCTGTGCACGATGTTGGCCCACCATCCAGGTGTCGAGACCTCACAGCGTCCATGCAGTCCATAGCAGCGTAGTATCGTGCAAGCTGCAATGGCTGGCATTTAAGAAGGTTTCATGAGACGCAGTATGACGCAGTGACAGCGCCTCCAGCGCGGTTGTGACAGAGGAACTGAGCTCCAAGGTCTCTGGCACAGCGCCGCGTGCAGTGGGGCTGCCTTTTACTTCACGGCAGTTAGCCAAGACGGATCGTCGTTCGGGACCCCACTCCCCACCGTCCCCGCCTCCACGCAGTGATGTCGAAGTCGAGTGTGTGCCGCCGACGAAGCAGGTCGTGGCCTCGATTCCCCGCGTCTTTAGACCGAAGATGTCAAATCCATGCTGATGTATTGCTTAAAACGCCGGCCGGCAGCAAGACATGCACTGCGGCTAGGAAGCAGGCGATGGCAAGAGCAACTCCAAGCAGCAGGATCGGGAGCACCTCATCATCTGCTCAACCGCGAAGACTGGCCCCATGTTCGCAGGGCACAACTAGGCAGGAGCACGCGACGGACTGCCATGGTTGTTGCCTCAGATTCGAACAATCGGCTAGGCAGGTCTGAACGAAGCCACCCAAAGTGCACCCAAGGAGCTGGGTCCACTACAGGGAAGGCAGAAGAGGGCACAGGAGCAAAACAGCTGAAATCGATGGAACAACTCACACTTCATGGAGTACCAATGCGGGTTAAATAGGAAAGCGATTGCCATCATTCCTCGGACCTTCTTTGAAACCTGGGTACTACAAGTAGTACACCCCCGACGTCCATGCGTCATTTTGCGTTTTGCCAAAAACCTGCCGTCTCTTCCCTCACTTCTGCGTGGCTTCCTCGAACTTTTGCCTGCCATAGACGTGCGGCATAATGTATCCCTGCAACAGGCTGCAAACCTTCAACGGCTGCGAACGCTGGTGAGTTCAGGCCTCTCGGACTGGAGGTAGATGATGATGAGGATCGCGCATGGGACGACCAGGAGGACCTGGGCGGCGGCCGCGCTATGCCCGCGAGAGCTTTTCGTGTTCTTGGCTGTGCACGATGTTGGCCCACCATCCAGGTGTCGAGACCTCACAGCGTCCATGCAGTCCATAGCAGCGTAGTATCGTGCAAGCTGCAATGACTGGCATTTTAGAAGGTTTCATGAGACGCAGTATGACGCAGTGACAGCGCCTCCAGCGCGGTTGTGACAGAGGAACTGAGCTCCAAGGTCTCTGGCACAGCGCCGCGTGCAGTGGGGCTGCCTTTTACTTCACGGCAGTTAGCCAAGACGGATCGTCGTTCGGGACCCCACTCCCCACCGTCCCCGCCTCCACGCAGTGATGTCGAAGTCGAGTGTGTGCCGCCGACGAAGCAGGTCGTGGCCTCGATCCCCCACGTCTTTGCACTGTGCAGCGAAGATGTCCCCAACATGAAAGACGTAGCAAATCCATGCTGATGCTTTGCTTTAACGCCGGCTGGCAGCAAGATATGCACTGCGGCTAGGAAGCAGGCGATGGCAAGAGCAACTCCAAGCAGCAGGATCGGGAGCACCTCATCATCTGCTCAACCGCGAAGACTGGCTCCATGTTTGCAGGGCACAACTAGGCAGGAGCACGCGACGGACTGCCATGGTTGTTGCCTCAGATCCAAATGATGGACCATCTGCAACTACCTCTCAAACCTGTGAGACCTCACTCATGTCACACACACCATCAGTGCTCAAACATCTCAGACGAACCCGATGCATCAAAGCGGCTGTGTGTCCACAGTCCACTCTGCTACAGGTAGGGGGAAGGCGCTGAAACAAAAACAGCTTCAGCAAGCACTCTTCCAAGCATACACAACGGGAGGGCTATTCATTCGTGGAACGTTGACAACATCAGCATGGCAGCTATGTGGATCTTCCACAGAGTGGCATGCACATCCATCTACAGTACACAGAGTTTTCATATGCCCTCATCCGCTGCTACAGCACGCCAAGCTCTTTTCCGCAGAAGAAGACCGCTGTCACTCGGTGTACAGGCAGCCATAGACGTAGGCGCCAGCAATCTCAGGGGCGGACATTTCTCTCTGCATCACATACAGCATGGAACCGGAATCCCTCTACAGCGTCTGTGCCAATAGATCGCCTCGGTAAAGTCTTCCTTGCTGATCTCGCCAGGCTTCGGTTCCTCGTCGGCCACCTGCAGCGACACCAACGGTTCTGGAATTCCTGTCTTGCATCCATGCGTCTCCAGAGACTGAAATCAGCTGGCTCTCAGGTTCGCAGACTCTGTACGCTCTCAACAAGGCACACGGTTGCGCACTGCACTGCTGATGGACTGAAGAGTCAGTAAGAAAGCCCCTGATCGTGTGCAAACAAACAAATCCATACGATGATAGTGCGATGGGAGCTAGGGGAGAGCATCCTGCGGAAAACGCTTCCGACTGCACAGTCGGCTCTACGACCGATGCAGCCCCGTTCACCCGGCTTGTTGATAGCTCCACCTTTCAATCCACACTCTGTGTTGTGCATTCACACCCGTTTGGCGGGCTCTGTGCTCTCGGCCTCTTTCGAGGCACAGACCCACCAACGTTCGTCCATCGTGTGATCGAATGTCTCTGAGCTTTCGTAAAAGACTGGTCGCTTCCAGTGGTCACCGGTTTCCAGTCACGTGACTAGAGCACATCCTGCACACCGACATGCGATGATGTCATTAACTAAAATGTTTTTGCGGGTGGACTCCTTCCTGCAGGGCTTGCTGAATGTAGAACACGCATGCCGGGCTGGAAGCATGCCCGGAAGCCTCCACGAAGGTCTCCTCCATGTCCAGGTAGTTCTTCCTGCCTCGGGGCTCCGGCTAAGGAGATGGAGACCGAGAGAAAGGAGCTTGCAAAGAGCCTCAGCATGGGGAAGTGGGAGGAAGGAAACGCGGCAGAGCCAAGCGCACCATGCCAATCTCTCACCCCCCTTCACCAGCTTGGAGCGGAGCCTACGATGGTCTGCAGGTGCTCGTCCATGATTCCCTGCTGGAGACGCATTTAGACATGAACAGCCCTCCCGGAGAGCATGTCTGCCGGCAGCTTCAAAACTAGACAGTCCGTCAAAGCACGGGCGTGTTGATGCCGCAGGCAGGGTTGGCCCAGATATGTCATGCAATGTCATGCAAACCTTGAGGATTCAAGGTGGGACAGAACAATCAAAAGGCGCAGGCTTTCACATCGTCTGCGATGAGCCAGTCTTCCGACTCGGTGTTGAGCATTTCAGCTGGGATAAAGACGAGGGCCACGCAGCCACAGGCTCAGACCCTGGCCTCGTAACGCATGTCCCAGATGCGTGCCATTTCCTTCCAACTTACAAGTAGCTCAGAGGATTTCACGAGGAAACTAAGGCGGGCCAGCGCGACATGACACACATAAGTCTCTGCCTGCTTCACCTTGAGCCAGTTGGGATCTTTGTCCAAGTCGACGTCTGGAGCTTCATCTTCCTCCTCCAAATCCTCCGATTCCTGCACCTGATCTCGAGGGAACCACACCGTCTCATGTGCGAGAACATGCACCTCGGCTCTGCAAGCCGTCCGTGGTCCTGGCACGCCAAAACACGCGGCATGGGCGTGTTCAAGACCGGTAGATCTTACTTCCGTCCTGGACTTCTCGCCACGGGACCGCCAATCCTTGTCTACCGAGACAAGGAATATTGTGGCCAAGGAGCTGTCTCGCATAAGATAAATAGGACAAGGAAGATGTACATGCAAGCGCAAGGACAACCTATAATGGCCAATTCACCACCGGGCACTGACGAAGTCGATGGGGGCCTCTTGGCCTCAAAAGTCGCAGAACTTGATTCTGCAATTACCATGCCGTCAGGCTCACAGGACTGGGAGAAAAACGACCGATTCTGGGGCAGCAGCCAGCCATGAAAAATGTGGCCTTGGCAAGCCATGCTGACTCACTTCCTGATCCCTTGTGGAGCCTGAACTAACTAGATACTAGAGGAAACTAAATTTGCGGTGCGAGGCGCAATGGTTGCCAGGAAAATTGCTGCTGTGAGCTGCACTGCCTTCCTGCCAGACAAAGCAAGCATGCGAACCTGTATTGCGACTGGAAAACACCAACGCGATGACACCAAAGGCCTTGGTTGCAATTTTGCATGCCCGCGGCGCGCATGACGCCCTGCAACAGGAAGGCGATTGAATGCTTGTCTTCAGTCTTCACATGTCCGACGTGATTAGCCGGCACCTCGTGACAACATGGCGGACAATCCAGAAGTGTTTGCTTTGCCACTGTGCAAAGCAATCCGTTGTATCGTGCGGTTGTCTGCCAAGAAGCTTCTGGCGCAATTGCGAGTTTGCTGGCTACGTAGCCCCGATGAAATGCTTGCTACACTACCCTCTGCACCAGAATGATAGCAATGGATGCATGTCGCCTGTGTGGCTTTGTGTGGGCCTTCCATGCATTTAAAAAGTCTCATGCGGCTTTGTGCTTGGAGAGGGAAGCACATTGCAAAATTCGATTTGGGCATGCGCTCCAAGGACGGAAAAAAGCTCCAAAGCCTGAAGCTGACGAGCTGCCGATTCTGGGTTGCCGCTTGTTTTCATCCATATTGCTTCTCGAATCTTACGCCGATGTCTGCATCTCTTGCTGCATCCTCGGCAAGTGCCAACGATCACCAACATTGCTTCCAGCCAGCATGCAGCCTCAGCAGCTGACTTTATCAGCTGCTTTTGCTTGTCGCTCAACTCCTTTTCCTTTTCGCCGATGATTTTATTCGACCTTGGCATTTGGTCCACTTGCATAAGCACGTTGCACACATACGCCTCCCAGGAGCACCGGAAACTGGGGATTGCGGGAAGCAACTGGGGATCCCCCAGGGAGCGAACCTGTCCAGCTCCCCAGAGATGTATTCCAAACGCTTGGCGACATTGGCCTTCAAGACCCTAAATAACAAGATTCGAACGCTTGAAACTGCTGCCGCGTGTGCTGGCCTTGGCATCGTCGACATTCTGCTTGACCATCACCTTTCCGGAACATGAATCTACAGGGCGTTGAGCCCTCTAGTATCAGTGCTGCGCTTGAAGTCTCTGGAATTCGGTCGAGCTTCGGGGCCAACAAGCTTGTAGACGACGGCATCTTCCTGAGAACCAGGCGCATTTTCACGAAGAGCCCAAAGCACTCTCTTGGGGCCCTCCCTTGGGCCCTCCCAGCCTCAATGGAGTCAAACTCCTGCTTCACCAGCTCGGTCTCCTGACGAAAGACGGAGCACATTTGCATCACTTGAAGCAATAGTCCGTGAAGCATTGACGTCGTCCTGCTGCTGTGCAATGAGGCCCATCCGTGCTTCGTAGTCTTTCTGCAGACCTTCCTGCATGCCCTGAGCAATCACATTCTGAAGCGCAGATTCCGAACCCACACTCGTTAGTTGCATTGACCGCTAAAGCTCCTTGAACTTATCCAACTCCTTCTGCATTTCCTCATGCCAGTAACACAAGTTCGCCATTAGTTCGTCCGGACCAGGACAGTGTGTTTTTGCAAACAGCTGCTTTGTTCGTGCCTGTTCGCTGGCAGGAGCCATGAGACCTGATGAGTCAAGGTGAGGCTTCCAGACTTTAATTACAGAGGCTTTTTTGTTCGTGCCTTGCCCGGGGTGCCGCGTGTGGGCCAAAGGGCGAACGTGCAAAGCTTGGACAGGCAGCCTGTTGCCTCTCTGGGTGAGTCTAGCTGCGCTCTAGCACCTAGGACCCTGGGATGTCGCGAGAGACGAGAACAGGGAAACAACTACTAGTAGCGTTGTGGATTGGACGTGACATGAGTCAAAGCTGCTGGCTGCTTTCCATGCCCCAGTCAATGAAGCGTGATCGCTTGTTGCTCTGGCAGCCCAGACTCGTCTGAAGCGGCGAGCAGCGAAATCGAGACATTTCACAATGGAGTCCAAAGCGCCGATACTCTCTTGCCGAATGCATCCAGTCACTTTTGGCGTAGACACCGGATTCTTCAAAGCGGCTTCAGCCAGGCACCTCCATTTAGGAGCACTTGGCAGGGCATCACACGTCTGTCCACAAGATTGTACTGACCACAAATAAGGTCGCTCGAGCAACTGATCCGGGCCCAGAAAGAGCACGATACAGAGCCCCTGGAGCAAGTTGGCCTGTAGGCCACAGCCGCAAAGCCACTTTGCTTCGCGAGGATGAGTGAGGACTGTACATTCGCTGCATGCACAAGATCCGCTTGGCCAGGACATTCATGCTTGACTGCCGTCAGAGTAAACAGTGGTATCCTGTTGGTTTAACACCGTGACAAAGCGGCTCTCTAATAATATTTAGTTGATCAGAACTGATCAGCCATCCTCTTTTGGGATGGTACTGTGGCTGTGGAGCAGACAACGCCAGCTCTCTCCACCGAACTCTTGGAAAAGTTGCTGCAACCACTGCATAAGTTCAGCAGCATGGGGATGCAATTTGATTACATCTCCAAGCGGCTGCTGGTGCTAATTCCCGCATTGCCGCTAGACGCGGCCGCCTGGCAGACTGAGGCCACCCGTCACCCCTCCCCCCTCCTAGCCCTCCTAAGTCGTAGCCTGTAAATGTCTGCGCCGAAGTTCGCTTGTCGGGGATGTCGGGATTGGGTTCTCCCCTCCTTCGGCGTCCGCAGTGAATGCACGGCTCCATCGTCGCAACTTCAAGGATGCAGCTTCACCAGGGCTCCTCGAAGCTCTGTGGCGACAGTGACATCACCGAGTGGCATCTCGGATTCAGCAACTCCGGCGAACCTCACGGCAAGTTAACTTCTTCATCGAAGTATTTGAGCAGCCTCTGCCGAAGCTTAAGTTTCCTTGGAGCAGACGGCCTGCCAACGCTTGGCATAGGCACATCTCCGAAGTGGTGATCAAGCTCCTCTTGAAGCTCTTGAATCTGCCTGTCCATGGAGACGCAACATACTTAGCTGCTTGCTGCTGCCATATGTAATAGAGCACGCACGACGACGAAATATCCCCCGGCCTCAAATCATCATCGACGTTGGTGTTCTCTGATGCTTGCGGCATCACGCCAGTCTGTTGTGCTCCATGTGCTCCCTGCTCGGACCCTGGATTCGGGTTGATGGCCGCCGTGATGCCTGGAGACCCAAATCCTTCTGGCGATTTCAGCCGTGGGTCGGATTGCACCCTCGCACCTGGAGAGAGTCCGGTGTACAAGCAAAACACGCTGACGCTGACTACCGTGAAATAGCAGAACCGAAAAAGCAACATCAGTGGACATACGTGGCTTGGTGTGCTACCCGCCGTCGGATTTTATGTGTTAGCACCTGCACTGTCGAAGCCGAGATGGCCATCGTCCAGCTCGGCCAGAAAATCCATCTGCTCGCGAGAAGCATTGAGCAAGCAAACACTGCGGACATAAGCCACACCGCTCCACCTCGCCATCGATCTTCTGCGCTCCGAAAGTACCCGTGACGGTAAGCAGTAGTTCCGGGCTGCGGAAGAGGTTCATCAACTGAGCAGGGCGAAACTTATGACCGGCAAGTTGACTTTGGTGCTCCCCAACTTCCTCCGGCCTGATAGTACAGCTTGAACTCTGTCTTCAGCAGGTGCTGGATGCGGGCAATGTAGATGCCGTTGCACAAGTCCTGATACGATGGAGCCACAAGCTCAATCTGTCATGCGGGCGCAAATGTCCTGCAAGAGCTGGACGTCAGGGAGCTCCTACAGTTTGGCGGGCAAGCTGCTCAGCTTCAAGCAGCGGCAGTTCCATGCCTCGTAAATGGCCCGCTTGGATGAATCCTGGCGGCAACTTGCAACTGGCCCTTGGGTCACTTGGGTCTTCGGTCGAGTCTTTGTATACATCGCTTGTTTCTTGATTTTAGTTTTCAGGGCTTGGCAAAAACCTTACAAACTTTGGGCTTTCTGCATACTTCTCGTTCAAAAGTAGCATCAGCAGCAGCACTCTACAGAACTTTGGTATACTGCTGGTCGGTGCGGCTACCGGTAATGCATGGTGATGACTCGGCCTGCCAGTGCACTCACAGCAGCTGCACTGCTGTTGTCCAGCAGTCGCACTGTTGTTCGTGGTCGTTGTTGCAGGCACAGGTGTAGCAATGAGTCTGCTTGTGGAGATGCCGTCAACACTGTTGGTTTTCGATGGCTATGCACTCGTTCTGTAGTATTGAAAGCGAGCTTGTCCTCTTGCACAGCGAGATGCTCAGCCAATATTTCACAAGCTTTCCTCGTTGCGTCATCCAAGTATCGAGTCGGTTTAAGTGGCTGTGGTCTTCCTTGCAGAAACTGCTTTCGCAACTCAACTTCTGCGTGGAGGCACCGCGTTGCTCTGACGTCCGGCCGGGTGATCACTTACTGTACTTTCAATGCATTGAGCTTCTGAGCCATGTGGGTGGGAACCCACCACACGTCCCAATGGAATCATCCCAGAGACAGCACCGAAAGCACGAAACACTGCCGACGGCACCTGGAACACGAGTCGAAGGAATCGGCCAACTGCATATACCACACCTCAGTCTCCCTCTCCCTCTCTTCCCCTCACTCTCGCTCTCTCTGGCTCTTTCTCTGGCGCACACCAGACAAGGCAAGACAGATGCCTGTGCCCACACAGTGCCCAGGAGCCCTGGGAGGCCCGGCCCAGGTAGATGCCCATCACACCCCAAGAACCGGAGTAGCCCATGGGTGCAGGTGCACTCTTCTCGCTGGCTACCTGGCACAATAAGCCTTGTTCACAGGTGTTCTGCACGAGATTCCTCTGACTCTGGCCATCGCCAAGACACAGGTTCAAGCTTGCAGGGGAGACGAACTGTGATATCCGGCAGTCCACTCTTGCATGGCCTGTGACTGCAGACGTTGCGGTGGACAAGTGTCGCTTTGCTAGGCTTCTGCATGTTCCTGCCTTCGCTGTCCGAGGATCCAGCCTGACAGCTTCTACAGCTCGCAAGCTCAGTTCGATGCACTTCTCGCATTGTTGCATGACGGAGGGAGGGAGCCTGCTTCGCCCAGCATTCTTCGGAAGCTTTTGACAGCAACCAAACTCCTCGCACAGGTGCCTTGGCTTACGGGATGCCGGCTTAGTCTCGAAGTCTTTCTCAAATCTGCGTCAAGCCGCTGCACGAAGTTGGCTGCCGCGATCTCGGCCATGGGAGTGCCTCCCACGCGGAGAATGCGGCCGGTGCTCACCAATACCAGCAGAAAAAACATCATAGTTCATTATAGTGTTCTGAAGTACATCTACAGTCCACACAGTAGCTCAGCAGCTACAGTAATTAGGCTGAGCCCAAGCACCGGTGCACGCCGAATTCGCTGGATCGGAACGTGAGCAGGAAGTCCATCGCCCTACCCGTGTACTGCGCCTGGCATCAACATGCGCAAAACCAATACTCGGGCATAGTTTCAGTCGAAGCCTCCAAATTCGAGTTCACCCGCAAGGTCTTGGATGTTGCTTGTGAAATGTAGATGGGATCCTGCCGCAGGACGAGCTTCACGCCACTTACTGTATGATCGATGCGGAAGAGCCAACACAATTAGCTTGAACTTCGTCCGTCCTCTTGTGTGTCGGACAAGTCCAAGCTTTCCTGTAGATTGCATCTGCTGGGTTCCAATCGAACATCCTAACACCTCCCAATGTCCATCGATGCAGCCGTGCCAAGATCGGTGAGCCAAGAAGCGTTGACGAGCCTGCCGAGCTGAAGCGTCCTTTGGGCTCCGCCATCACTACGTGCCAACAACTCATTCTCCCAACTCTTCAATGTTCTGAGAGGCCGGCGCATTCTTGCTGAGCTTGACTCCTGAATAACGGGTGCTTCGGCAATCTTCAGCGGCTAAACGGATTGAGCAAACTGCACGGGTGTGCTCTATGCCCGGCTGCCGTATGCCCATTTCCTTGCCAGAGATTATCATTGCATGCAAGGGTCTTCTGGGTGGAAGTTCTGCCCTCTTGCTTTGACCAGTGTCACCATTGAAGAGCAAGACGTACCTTAGGAAAGAGATAAGGCTGATGCAGGCATTGCCATGTAGGCAACCGATGGAAGCATCCAAACCTTCCTACAGAGCCACAAGCACAGAGTCAGCCAAGCCACTCTATTTCTATCCAGGCTGTGACATCGGGATCACCTCGGCTTTCCTGCTATCTGCAGAGCACCCTATGGCCAGTCTGCCGCGATCTACTGCGTGTGTCTCGACGCTGCCATGCAGCTCCGTTGCTAAGGCTTTCCGTGATGCGTGACGCCAGGCTGGATGGGTCGGTAGAGTCGAAGCTCCGCTCAGATTCTTCCACCCATGTCACCTAGGCGACAAAAATCAAGTCACAAGAGAAACAAGCTTTGGTGCACTCTGCATTGGTCTTACCTGCAGCAGCTGCAAGGAGAGGACATCAACTGCATTCACTGAGGGCTCCGGCATTAGAAGTATCCATGCGAGACCTCGGTTCGAAATTAGCCAGAGTGGCAACTGCCTGTTCCCTGCTCCCGAGGACGGGGCAAATCTCCATGCTGCCACACGTCCGCGGTGATGGAGCTTTGTGTTCCTCACACACACACACACACACGCACACGCACACATCTACCTAGCTTCGAAGTCTTCCGGACTGCGCTTGCGCACTCTCTCTGACCTGGCCTTCAAAGAGATGCAACTTTCTGATGCCCTGGACAGCATGCCGCATCGAGTGCATGGTTTGATCCCATCTTAGAGGTTCTGGGCTTCGGCCTGGTCGCTTGTCTGAACCAGCAGAGTTGCAGTCAAAGACCCAGAAGTCAGTCGGTTGGATTGCCTCAGCAAACGCGAGGGCAAACCGCAACCCTTCAATCACAGATCTTGAAGTCATAAGGAGAACCAACAGCCGTACAAGTATCAACACCCGAACCCATCACTCCTGCTGCCAGAGTGCAGGCTTGGGTTCAAGGAAGAGAAGAGCGCAATCGGACCGACCTGAGATGCGAACTGAGTCCGAAACAGGCTGCACTTTCAGAGACATAGAACCAACAACAAGACATTGCATAGTCCGAATGAAGGTTCTGCTCGCAAACATAGTGCAAAGGAGCGATATTGACTCTGACACCTTCGGGCTCGAACAAAACGTTGCATCCGTGGAAAATTGTGAGGCTTCTGTCGCATCTATGTACGAGTAGGTAACAGTCTGCAGCAGCATACTTGCACAGCGAAGCGGCAATGAGGAGAGCCAAGCCGACGAGCAACAATCCGCCTTGAAGAACCTGCGCATGTAAGCATATGTAAACAGTGTATAGGAC